TGCTGATGTGGCCCTCAATGAAATTGAGTTTGACACCCCTGGCCTAACATGTTGCATGAACTTATCACTGAGTTTAAGTCTCAAAGTACAGCAGAGAGTATTGTAGCCTAAATTAAAGAATTTCCTAAGCCAGCAAAACCTTTTAATCTAATACATCCCTACAGCCAATGTGACATGTTTCTGAATAAGTATGCTTGGGACTGGGGTACATGATTTAAACTCCTGGATCAGAGAATATTAATCAGATTGACTAAGGTGAAATAGGGAAGACCTTTTGGCCTTTTTGTTTAAACCCTTCCTATACATCAAAAACCATGTTCTTGTTCAGAAAGAGATGTGTGAGAGATTATGTGTTTCATTACGAGAGAGACTGTTCTCAGAAAAACTTACCAGGATCAAATCTGACTTGGACGTGGGTGTAAAACTATCCAGGAATAGCCTAGGAAGTCAAAACAGTATCCTAGATGAAAGTGATGGCAAACCACATGTGGATTGTTGTCAAGAAAAATACATGACGTGTTCATGAAGTCACCAAAAATCAAGTTTGACTTGAAGAAGACTCAACCTTTGAAGAACCTTTGTCTGCATTTAACATAGATCCATCAAGTGAGTTCCTGGTAAAGCTTATCCAGAGTTAGGTCTTTGCTTCAGATTCTTATTGCAATTTCTCATATAACTAGAGTCCAGTCTAATTTGCTGCTCCTTGCCATATGTCTCCCTTCTTCTTATGAGATCCCTGATTGCTAAGGAAGGTCACAGTAAGACGACTTAGCCTCTCAGTTGATTTGAATAGGTAATCTCTACAGCAGACATGTCAAACTCGCGACATCACGTGACGTTGCACAATGTATCGGGCCAGTTTTGCCATTGCTAGCAATGGGGTGGGCGCGGCTTCCAGATGACGCATCCGGCCCACAGGCTGGCAGTTTGACACCCCTGCTCTACAGTATTCAACTATTCACACAACAGATGAAACAAATACTTACATTTTATTCAAATTTTTAATAAATTGTTTATGAGTGACTATGACATCATTGATGTCATTAAAACTAATCAACAGCAGGGTAGTAAGGGTTGAATTTATACATTACTGCAATATTTTTGATATTTCTGTTTGACAAAAAATGCTTGAAGAGTTACCAGAGATCCGGGCTACAAAAATTTGGATTACCTCTAGAAAGAAAGAAATATTTAAGAGTTTTCTGTGTTTGCTATTTGCTGGTTGCCCAGAATATTATAGCCCTATAAGATAAAACTCTTGAAAAAATGTTTTGTGTGTTCCTTTGAGGATACTATTTTCATTGGTCTCATACAGGTAGTCTACAATTGGGACTCTAATTTCTGTTGCTAAGCAAGGCAGTTATTAAGTGAGTCACATCCAATTTTACAACAGTTACCGTTAAGTGAATCCCTGCAGTTGTTAGGTGAATCACACAATTGTTAATCGAATCCAACATCTTGATTGACTTTGCTTCTCAGAAGACGTGTCGCGGTTGGCGATCACAAGGCCCCCGAATGCTGCAATTGTCGTTAAGCCCAGTCCATTGCCAAGTACCTGAATTTTGATCATATAACCACGGGGATGCTGCCATGGTTGTTAAGGACTGGTCATGTCACTTTTTTCAGTGCCGTTGTAACTTCTAATTTTTGCTAAATGAATGACTGTAAATTGAAGACTACCTGTAGTATTCTACAACCATGAGAGGGAGGAAATTTCTCAAGTCCGGCACTTAACATTCAGAGGCTAGTAGAATTTATCCCAAATCTAAAAAGTATTTCACCAAAAGAAATCTCGACAGCAGAGTTTTTGTAAAAATTTTTTTGCAGAAATGTAACAAGGTCTTTCTTTCAAGCCAATTGATAAACTGAATATAAATCCTTTTCAAAGTAAGAAGCAATTTCCTTTATTTTATAGGGGATATTAGAAGTATAAAGCTATATACAATTATCTATAGTTTATTTGTAACTGCCCTTCAAAAACAGGTTTCCTCAGAGTAATTCACAACAAAATCAAAGACATCAAAACCTTCTTTTTTTTTTGCGCCAAGAATCTGTTGTACAATCAAATGCTCTATTCCACATTCTTCACTCCCCCTTTTAATTCTTTGGAAAATTGATCCCTCTAATGCCTGGTGAATCAGGCAGAAAGATTTGTTATACAAACAATGCAGAAAGGAAACTTAACAACAAAAGCAAAGGAGGGAGCTTACATTGTCTCTCCTGTTCCAATGTATGGCCACACAATCTTATTTGTCACGAGGACACCCATTTATTACCCATTCAGATAATGGTTAGCATTAGAGCTACTTAACAAGGAATAAGACTTTATCTGTAGGTAATTCTTAACCATGTAATCATATTTCTTTCTAGCATTCCTCTTTTTATTATTCTCAAATTAAGGCCCAGACAGAGGATAAGGCTTATTTTAAAATATATTATCCAATTGTCAGAAAATATATAGTACAGAAATGAAAGTGCCGGTCTATAATCCTTACTATTCTGTTAAGAGTTTCTCCAAGGTTTAGGCAACAGCCTTAACCCAACATTGCTACCTGAGATTCTTTGAATTGGAGCAGGGAGTAGACCAAGTGGTACCCAAGACATCTACCACCTGGGACACTACCACTTGGTGGATGCTTTTTTAAAAAAACAGAAAAGAAAAAATCTCTTTGACATGTTGCAAAACAATATGCCAGCTTCAAACATAGCATTTATTTGCTACAATACCTTCAGGCCTGCAAAGGTATAGATCAGCTCAGTAATTCTGTGAACAGGGGATCTGAGCAGGGCAGTCCATTCTTAAAGGAACATGAACCAAAGTTCCAAATGCGTGGAGGACCCAAAGAATTGTCTACTTCTGCTATACAGCCTACATTTATTGGGTCACAATTGCACAGGTCTGTTAATGGTTTTAACATGGAAACAGCTGAAAAAGCACTTGTGCTTTTCCACGTGCATTAAAGAAGAGAGCTGAATTTCTGATCAGAGAAAAAAGGATGAGCAGATCCAGGAAAGGACATCATGATGATGATGGTGGTGGTGGTGATGGTGATATTCTTTTCCCCGCAACATTGTTCCTTTTCTTGATCTCAATGTTCCTAAGCTTGTGCAAAATTCTGCAAAGACCATGCATTTGCCAGAGCCCAGCACTGGACATCCAGGAAAGGTGCAGGCAATGTGAAACTGTGCTCCGTTTTGCTGGAGTCTGCTTCCCTCCCTTAAACCCTGGCACTCTTGCTGTTGTTTTTCTGAGAAACTGTGCATGCTGCCAGGACAACAAATATGTGGGCTTTGCTAGGAAGAGCTCTCTTTCACAGATAAGGCTTCCATTTCTTGCCACAATGCTCGCTGCACCTGCCTCGCATAACATATAAGGAGCATGGCTGGCTACAGATAGCTCCTGCCTAACCCATGCTGATTAAAGGAACCAGGAAATGGGAGGGGAGGGTTACATTGTGTTGGGAATGATAAGTATGAGTAACCTCAAGTTTTGGAACTTTAGAAAGGAAAAAAGAAAAAAAAACTTTAAAAGGAGGTTTAAAAAGAAACAAAAGGCCACTGTGCTGTGCCAGATCAGCAAAGACCAATCAATCTAGATCAGGGTCCCCAACCCTGGGCCATGGCCCACCTCCGGGCCTTGAGCTGTTCGGAACCAGGCTGCAGAAGAGGCGGGTGAGCGCGTATTTTGCCATTGCTCACCCCCACTTGCGTGAACAGCAGGCGAGCGCATGCACTCCATTTGTGCGAGCGGTGGATGTGCGTGCCCACCACTTGTGCAAACAGCTGCGCGCATGTGCACACGTGCATGTTTGCCTACCGCTCACATGGAACTATCCCCCTCCCGCCCCTCCGCTAGTCTGCAAAGCTGAAAAGTTTGGAGAACTCTTGATCTAGACACAATCCACTAGCTGCTTACTTCCAGAAGCAGGGGAGAAGAAAGACAGCTGTGAGAGAGGTGACAAGTTAAATTTGTATGGGAAATTCAAGTTGAAATGCATTGCACGGGGTGGTGTATCTGAACACAGGTAGACAAAACCTGGCATTTGGTCTTGGATATTTCTCTCTGCTGTCTCAGCCTAATGTCAAAGCATTCCTGACTCATGACAGACTGTTCCCGGGCCCTATCCTCACCCACCCAATCATTTCCCCCCTGTCTCCCTTGCATCTAAATGCAGTCAACCAGTTTATATGTGTTAGCCCTCTCTGCCTTACTAGCTGGAGGAAGGGCTCCCCAACTTCTTCCTCCCTCCTAGAAAGAAGTCTGCAAACTAATCTGGTTGAGATTGCCCTAGTAGTTCAACAGCTATTGGCAACGTCTGGCAATAACCTGCCAACCCAATGGAAAGAGATGCAGCAAGGTAGAGGAAGGGCAGAAGAATCGCTGAATGCCATCTAGAGCCAACTCACTATAGAGACATCCTACTGCAACCCAGTGTTACAGTCTTCTCATCTGGGGACAACATGCTTCTTTGTATATCTCTATAGGCTGCCAATTGCATGCAGTTTCCCCTGGATTGCATCTGTTGGTTTGAATGTACGTGATCAGGTGTTCTTGAACGAGGAACAATGGCGAGACATCCAGCCCGCTCAAAATGACATGTGCTTATAAAACATGGTTTATGTGACAGAAGTGAGCCTACTTCAAACACAAATCTCCCCCCCCTCCAGAACTTTTTGGATCGAGTGCTTGATAATAATAATTCTAAAAAGATTCACTTCTGAAGAATCCCAAGATGTGCTTGTAAGAAGGGATACCAAAACTCAGAGGAGCCACCACTTCACAGTATATGTGTATATCCTGACTGTTTTCTGAAGAAACAAACTCAGAAGCAGCCTTGTTCATCCAAAGAGCAGATGCTAGATCTTTCTGGCCTGTTACACCAGCATGCTGGCTTTTCTTTTTCCCAAATGGTCTTTTATTGCACCTTCAAAACACACAGTCAACTTTCTAACACTTTGTTTATGGCCATAGAAAATATAGCGGTCTCTCCCCCCCCACCCCACCTAACTAACTCCAGTCAGCAGCATTCTCTTGACGTTTCAGCCAGGACAAAAGACACACTTACACCCTGGAGTCCTTTCCTTGAGCCGAGGGAGGAAGGGAGGAGAAGCAAAAGGCCCTCTTTGCAGGATCTTTGGGTGTGGGAAGCAGGAAAGGCCAGAGGTCAAAGGAAATCTGTCTGCTTTTACTTTACTGAATATTTCTGCTGGTTTCAGTATTCATACAAACCATGGCTTTTTAGGGCAATACACTCCATTAACCTTTTTATTTTATCTAAAGGTCTCCCCGTGGCCTTTGAAAGAGAGAGACCTTCCCTTCCCAGTCAACCCTCCCTCTTTCTTCAAGGCAAAGAGCAGGGCTGTAAGAGTCAAAAGAAAGCTTGGTTCCCTTTGGTGTGGGCAGTGCCTTTCCTCTTACCAGCAAAGGATATAGGCCTGAGTAATACTATAGAACCTGATTGCCTTTGCACACACTTTCACACACGCGTTCGTAACTCTTCCTTCACATCCACACGTGGCAACCAAAAACAGACACATATACTTCTTATGTACAGGATTCTCTAAAAAGCAATGTCCTTGGAGTAGATTCCCCCAAATTTCGTTCCTTCCCTGTATCTCCTGTGTAGCCCTCTTGCTCCTTGGGTCTCTTCAGCGGTAGATCGTTCCGACTGCCTTAGCATCTTCTTCCTTCAGAGAAAGGTACAGCAGCTGGACCGCCTCTTCTCCGACTCAATGTAGTCATGGATTTGGAACTTGGGCTCATCCAGCTGCTTCACAGCTCGCTGCTTGATCTCTCTGGAAACGAAAGAGTCAAAACACCGCTCAAGACATTATTTCAAGAAAAGGAACTTTCCTCCCAGAGAAATGTTTTCCTGGACTTCTAACCGTAGGAGAAGATTTCATCTTTCTTAAAATGCAGTACTCGGAGTAAAGCGTGTTAATGTCTACCCCCCACCTCCGCCCAGAAATAGATGCAACTCACAACTCCTTCCCGGTCTGCTGTGACCTCGAAAACCAGCTACAGTACACCATTTCTTGGATGTTTCATTTCAACACAAAGATTACAAAGAGTTCCAGAGAACACATCAAATTGCGTAAGTGGGCAGTAAAAAGGGAGGAAAAAAAATATTGGCGAGATGTTTGTGAACCATCCAAGGAGAAAAAAAAAGTGTTAGGAGAGGGAGATGGATGAAATCTCACTGAAAACTTCACAAAGGTATGTAATGTTGGTTGCCCCATTTAACACTTCTGCCAAGGGATTGAATTATGGATTATGGGATCTGATAACGGATACTTGTGAGAATTCCTTACATTTTTGAAAGTTGAGTCTTATTTGGTCTCACCTCGGATAGCCTTTTCTTAACTTAAGAAAGTTCATAGCAACCCAATGACCAATTCTCTTGGGTTTCCCCTCCTTCCCAAATTCTCCTGATGTTTTGGATGCTCATTCCTACCAGTCCCACCAGGATGGCCAGGTGGTCTGGATTTTACTATCCAAAACATCTTAAGGCATCAGCCTTTGAGTGCAGGGAGGGCTTGATAAAATGAAAGCAAGAAGGCTCAACATCTTCTCCCAATGCTGTTATAATCGCAGGGATTGAAGGCAAACTATCTGCAGCCTGTTACTCACTTTGCAATGGCCAGAAATGCCAATTCCACATTCATACCCGTCTTGGCACTAGTCTCCATGAAAGGCACTCCGTATTCCTGGAATGAAAACAGAGCAGAAAAAGTGGCAACATTTTGCCAGCAAACCTGATGAATCCTTTTTAACACTCCTGTGCTGGAATCTTAACAATAGCCCTGGAAACTTAAATATACTAATTTGTAATCCCAAAGAGGAGGTGGATTTGGGTCAGTTAAGAAGATAATTCAGGATACTATCTGCTCTGCATTAAGGGGAGGAGATGCTTGCCAATACAGATGGATTTTTCTGAAATTAGACAGAAAGCTTGGGTCACCTACTCCAGCTATGCTGTGAGACAGTCACACTTGGATTTGTTCACTTACCCTGGCTAAAGATTGCCCATCTTCTGTTCTGATAACTCGCTCACTGCTCATGTCAGCCTGCAGATAGAAAGACAGTAAGGGTGGGGAAGAGTTGAAGCATGCATAATCATGAGATACCTTAGCATTTTTCTATCTGGGGGGATTAAAAATGGAGACAAAATAAACATTTGTAAATAACTTAGGTAGAAGATAGGTTCTCCCCTAAAGCACCCACCTTAGCCTCACTCTGCTTCTTCTTTCAGCCATCTATCTATCTATCTATCTATCTATCTATCTATCTATCTATCTATCTATCTATCTATCTATCTATCTATCTATCTATCTATATGGCCGCCCATCTTAAATTTATGGCTCTGCGCAACTAACAGCACATTAAAACACCATACAACAATCTATAACAATAAATTATGCATAAATAATTGACAACTGAGGTAAATCGCCAAAGAAGCAAAAACAAAACTATCTACTGCATAGTAGGTTCTATCTCTGGTAAATGCAGTGTTGACTCCAAATCATTTTGTATTCAGGAAGAGTGAAAGCCAATCTTCTGCCAGGATTTTAATGCTTTCCTTTATTTTGTTATTTTTAAAAGTTTGAACATTATGTTTTGGTTATGCCATTGTTTGGTCTGCGTTCAGTTCCATTTGCTGTTCAGTTTTACGTTGTAAATTGCCTTGATTCTCAAAGAGAAAGAAAGGTAGGCTATCATTATATTTCTAAATAAATAAAGGTTTTGTTTTGGTTTTAAGCCATTCAGAAAACTAGGCCTTCCTGTGCAGCATTGAAGCAGCGTAGACATTTGTAGGCCAGAAAGGAAAGAGAGATAACCACAAAGATTTCTACCAACAGGAAAGGCATGGGATGGGGGACATCCACATGTGGGAGCACAAAGGAGCCCCGGGATCAGTCCCGACATGTTTTTCTCCCAGATCTTCCTGTGGCAACAGTGAACACCATTATGGAATCTTACTTGTTTCAGTGTGGCAAAAAAAGTATGTTATTTCCAAATTGAGCTTATCTTCTGGTGCTTGGCTTGGACGGATTCTGGTATTCCAAGGCTGGTCAGCTGTTGGCCTTTCCAGCTGTGGGTGCCTCTGCTTTGAGGGCTGATGGATTGGGGGGGGGGGGAAGAGAATGTCTTAAATTGTCTCATGGTTCCAGGGCAATTCCAGAGGTGTGAAGCTACAGATTCAGAGTGCCCCCTGCTGGCTCACTTTGGTCAGCAAAGAGGCAAGCTACAAAAACCCATCAAAGGATTTTCCTGCATACCTTATCTTCAATATTATTATAACCACCACCACCCAAAAATCAATAATCGATTTTCCCTTGTTTATATTCTGTTTTTCTTCCTTTTCTATGCTTGAGTGTGTACATTCAATTTTCATAATGAAACAGTTTTTTTGCACTTCCAGCCCACCGTTCTGCCAAACTGGGATGGCAACACAATATTTTTAGAGACATATTTTCTCAGGCATAATCTGCCGTGTGTGTGTGTGTGTGCACGGTGGCCAGAGTGGAGGCAAATTCCAAGATTTGAGGGATTGTGGTTCTCTATGCAAGCCTTTCTCTTACTGAAACATCTCCTCTTCCCAAGCGACATGATTCAAAGATAGACCTTCAAAATTTAGGAGATCTGGTCTGGTCTCTTGCATGGAAACTTTGCAATCACAGCACAAAATCCATACTTAAGTCCATGAGTTGCATAATTCTACCCTATAGTATCTGCCACCCAATGCTGTTTCATCTAAACTATTTCATGAATTGATGGCTGTTTCTCAAACTGCATTTTGAAATCATGCCCCGAAGAACAGTTATCGCACCTAGAGCCATCAGGCGTGAGCTGCAAAATTTCAGATGGTCACAAGGTGGCAATAAGGAGTTAGTAATTTCTGTGTTTCTTGATGACCTGCTAGATCTGATAAGCCTACAGGTACAACCATTCAGAGGGATGGTAAAATAGCTTATAGCCACCCCTGCCATGTAGTCATTCTTTGCTAGCTTTTCTAGGAGCAGAAACACTGTACCAGTATATCTGTCCTAATCGGCCTGAGTGAAAACAAGGCAGTAGAAACAATGGTGAGATCTGTTCTTATGCTGGGAGAAAAAACACTCCATGGAGTGAGGGTGGAGGTTCACCTCTTGAGCTTGTGGGTTGGTTTTCCAAATGTTTTGTTACCAGGCTAGGTAACTTCTTCAGCTGAGTTTAGGGGCTGTCAGTGTCAGTGTTCTTCTGCTTATAAGGGCTTCTGTGGTAAGTAGGTCTTGTGATGGGGAGGTCATGTCAGGTGAGGGTCATGCCAGGTGAGGGTTTTGTGATGGGTCTTGTGATGGGGTCACATCAAGTGAGGGTCTTGTGGTGGGTCTTGTGATGGGTCAGAAGCCCTTAAAAGCAGAAGAACACCAACACTTACATCCCTTAAATTCTCCTGAAGATGTTACCTAGCCTGGTAACAAAACATTTGGAAGCCAACCTATAACTCAAAGAATGAACCTCCACCCTCATCCTACATCTGAGCTACAGATATTCACCACTATCGCGCTCCATGGAGTGCCCAAATCCAAAGATGACTCCTCAGCAAAATGCCTGGGTGCTCCACCTCCCCCCATCTGGCCTTTGCCTCGGCACACTGTTTCCCCCTAATTTATTCTTTCCTCACCTACTCTAGGGATGTTTTTCCTCCTTTCTTTTTTTCCTGAAGAGTTGGGCACTCTAGTGGAGCATCGGTGATGCTCAGCATGTTGATTTCGTCAGAATGGCCCTGGGTCCCCTTTGCCTTTGTTTTATGTCAGGAACAAGGGCTGCTTCCTCAGCAACATCCTCTGTTTCTTGGAATGTGGTTTGGCAAATTAAAAAAAAAAGCTGTGATGCCAACAGCATATGGGGGCCCTACAGACTGTGAAGCCTGAGATCTGCATCTGATGATCCAACACTTTCTCCCATCACATCTGGCCTCTGAGCAGCTAATGACTGTAGACTTGGGGGGGGGAGAGTTTGCTAGCAGTTTTTATAAACTTTTTTCCCCCAATGTTGTCTTATATAAACCCTGGTTGATATTTTTAAAACCAACAGTTGCACATTGTCTTTTGAGAGCAAATGTAGTGATACCCATTGACCCCCTGACACAACGCAGGAGTTGTGTGAAGTGACCCCGGGTCTCATGGAATGAGGTAATTAAGGCTTATGTCGTACATTTAACTGGAACTGTCATTCCTTTTAAAGGAGAAAAAAAGGGAAAGAAGCCATTTGTTTGGGTGACTTCGTGATTTAAATCAAAGCACTCAGAAAGCCAATGTGTTTTTGTGTGTGTATGAGTGTATAAATATATTCAGCTAAGCCTCTTTCAAATAAGCCAACCCTAAGCTCTATTTCCCAGTCATGGGCATAAACTTTTCAATTTCCTGGAAGGGGAGCAAGGGCAGAGTGCAGCTGAATAATAGGGGTCAAAAAAAACTTTTCATATAGCCGTGAAAATTCAAAACAACAGAAAAGGTGCACAATTCATTTTAGTACTTTCATTTATTTCTTGGTTTGATTGTATCCCACCTTTTTATTATTTTTGCAAATAAGGTGGCAAACATATCCAATATAAATTTCTCCTCCTCCTCCCTTCCCCAGAACAACCCTGTGAGGTGGGTTGGACCAAGAGAGAGTGACTGGCCCAAAGTCACCCAGCTACCCTTCATAGCTAAGCAGGACTAGAATTCACAATCTCTTGGTTTCTAATCTGGTATCTTAAATCACTAGGCCAAACTGGCTCTTGGAGAGTTGGAGGACCACATCATCTGAAGGAAACAAGGGTGCCTTAATGGAATATGCTTTGCTGAGCTGGGGCTTGCAGGACTTTGATGACCCTAGTTGGCTTGGCCGCCCATTTAAAAAAAAAGGGGGGGGGGGTTCCAGGAAATCCTGGAAAAGTACAAGCACTGTTGCTTCACTGAAGTGCCCATCCATGTTCTCAGTAGTCCAAGGGTTAGCAAGTCTGCTTTGGTGTTATCTGTCCCACTATTCTTGGGAACCATCTTGCTCAGAAAACAATCTAATGTCATCCTGCAATATCTTTGATATATTGGTCTGAGAAAAAGAAATGTCTAGAGTCTTATATTTCATGCCTGTTTGGCTCCACTGGTTGAAAAAAAATTGTTTTGATCCCATGTCTTCTAGAAATATTATTTCGTGCATTTTGATTTTCTGCTAATGCTTTGGAACAAGCCTCTGCAAATCATTCCACAAGCTGCTTTCCAGCAACTCTTCCAAGGGAAATGTCACCTGTGAAGCCTCCCAACAGGTGAGCTAAGCTAACAAGCCACTCCTCTGCAGCTTTCAAGGACTGTATCCAAATCACCTGGTTGAAAGACTGCACAGATCTGCTACAGAACTATTGTTTGTTTATTTATTTAGTAAATGCCGCCCATCTCTCTATCCAAAGTCACTCTGGGTAGCTTACAATGCCATGAAAGCATATAGATATATTTATTTATTTATAAATATAATTCTCAGCAAGGTTAGAAAACTGCATCTGATCTACTGAAAAGTTGGGGACTATAACATGCAAAGCAACTGAGAAATAAATAGCAATCCCAAGAAAACTCATAATGTACCCCCAAGAGTAGGAAACCTCTTCATGCACTAGCCATAAAGCAGAATGAAAAATTCCTTTGTAAAAGGGATGGGGAATGTATGGCTCTCCAAATGTTGCTGAACTGCAAGTTAACTCTGCTGACTTGGGTTTGTAGTTCAACAACCCCCAGGAAGATCCAAGTTTTTCCATCTTGGGTTATGAGCTGATCACAGCAGGCAATTATGCAAAGCACACTACGATTAAACATTTCTCACAAGGAGACTATTAAGGGTCAAACAAGTTAGAAAGTGTCTGCAGGATGCCACAAATTTGTATTCCCACCCGAAGTTACATACCTTATTACCTAGAAGCATGATAACCACATCCTTTTGGGCATATTCATGGATTTCTGTGAGCCAAGCCTGCAAGGGAATGTTGAATGTGATGAGATGAAACATAGCTGAGAAGAAACACCAAACATCAAGACTTGACTGAGTTCACTCATCCTGTCCTGCCGTCTTGTTGCTTGTTTGCCTTTATCAGCTCAGCCATCGTGATTTGTAAATCTTGGCTTATGTCTTACTGTGTTGTGTGAACCTGATTAAATATGTGGCTTGCTTAGTGTAGCACAATTAAGCAATCCATGGTTTAGTGCAGTTTCTGAACCCAGCCACTGAATTACATGAGCTCTCAGCATTTAAGCAGGGAAGAGATAGGCCAAATCCTCTTGCTCTGATAAGAAGTAACTCAAGTAATTCTCAGGATGGGTATCCCAGACATTCCAATGAAGACCTCTAAGTCTCACACAATTTTGGGTTGCTCCTGGAAGGGCACAATGCTCTACGGTCCCTTTTGGCAATTGAGCCAATTTTGCATCAGATGTGCTGTGGCTTGGAGAGCAGTTTCCAATTAGAAGAAACTTTAAAATTACACCCATTTCCTAGACTTCCCATAATCCCCACAGAGCTTAAGGTACCAGAGTTCCCTGCTATCCTTAGAACTGTCTACTTGGCCAAGGAGGCAGACATTTCACAGATCTCCTACCCATTTTCCAAACTATCACTCAGCCTAAAGTAGGACAAGGATCAGGAACAGAGTCCTATCCGGACACCCATTTCTGTAATCTCCTTAGCCGTCAGCTCTTGACTGCTCAGCATTTTGTGCATGCTGGCTATTAGAATTGCTAAGTATTTCAAAATTTATTCTGAAGGTTTGGAGCAGGAATATGGCAGCTATATGGAAGTGCCCATATATTCCTGACAACCAAGTGCAAATAATATGAAATACATACAGTATGGATACCTCTTCTTGTATTTAGCCTGATTTTCCTTTTTCTTCTTCATCTCCCCTCTGACAACTTGTAGTCTGCTAGTTCTATGGGGCAGGGATGTTTTTGTGAAGTGTAAAGCACAGAGATATAACACATATTTCTATGCCAAGTAAAGTTTATATCAGTACTGTAAAAAAAAATAAAACTTTTCCGTGTCCAGTTTTATCAGACTCTAGGGGGCGGTGCTCATCTCCATTTCTTAGCTAAGGCAGCCAGCACTATTTGAAGACATTTTCATGGTCATGTGTCTGGCATGACTATATGCCGAAGTGCATGGAACACTGTTACCTTCCCACTGAAGTGGTACCTATTTATCTAGTCACATTTGCATGCTTTTGAACTGCTAAGTTGGGAGGAGCTGGGGCAAGTAACAGGCGCTCACTCCGTCACACAATGCTCGGGCCTCGAACTTGGGCTGTCAGCTTTTCATCCAACTAGCCCACATGTTTAACCACTGAGCCACTGCGCCCCCTATCAGTACTGAGTTATGGAAAATATTTTATTCCCATCTTTTAAAATTCTTGGTTTTTTAAGTGCAGGTGATCCTTTTTGTCTCTTTGCTGATTTCTGTGCAGCCCAGTGCATTTAGACAGAGACACAAGAACAGCTCAAATCGGGATATGTTTACTAATCAGATTACAACTTTAGCTTGCTGTTTGACTCCTGTGTGAGCAAGGGCTGGGGGACCATCTTGAATCAACAGTAGGCATGAAATACCCACCCGAATACTGTCAAAGGAGACTTTGTTGGTGATATCATAAAGGAGGAGAAGAGCTGGAAAAAAAAGAGAAATATGTGTTATTTGATGATTTTGTAATTTTCTAAAATTATCAAGCTATTAAGCACACATGGGGCCACATAGATCAATTCAAATATGAATCCCTCTATCCTTAGAGGGATTATCTAAATGTGTTGATAATCTCCATCCACAGGCACTTTCCCATCCTTGCTCAACAAATATCTGTTTGATGGAAGACTGTGGGATTTAAATCTAACATTGATTATACACAAGTCATAGCTATACCAGCCATTCTCAATGTAGTGCCTATGAGATGCATGTATCTTTCAGGGAAGATACAAAGATGAAGGGAAAGAGATGAGCTATGTCATAAATATAGTAGGATGCAGACAAAACAGAAAACCTCTTTTTGTTTTGAGCTTGATACAAAATAATCCCCTTAAAACATTCCATTGAAATATTCAGAGTTGGTTTCTTCTTGCTCTTAACAAACCTTACTTCACATAAACGTTTTTTTTAAGCTTGGAACACTCCAAAAGGCCATTTTGAACTCAAAATATTGCGCACTGCTAAGATATAGAACAATATAGATTGTACTATACATAAAATATAAACAATATATCAAACAGTGGCATTATCACTTGGTATTAGATCTGAGCAATGAAAGATCTACTCCGTTTATCACCCCAACTCTGATTCAATCTGAGATGAAGGAAGGCAGCATTCTAGAGCACCAACCTTGTGCATCACGATAGTACGCGTGTGTTACACTCCGGAACCTTTCCTGACCGGCCGTGTCCCAAATCTGCAATAAGGCAAAGACAGAAAACCAAGGAAACAGTCTTCATTGTATTCCATTAGAGAGACCCAGATGTGAAACAAATATTAGTGCAAGTGAAATTCACAGACAGTACGTGCAAAATGATATTCTTGGATAGTTCTCTGAATTATGTCTGTTTAGAACCAAGATAGTTCTTCCAAATAAGAGAATAAAAATGAACTATATTGTAGCACTTACAGAATTCAATTCAGCATATGGAAGTGATGATGCAAATGTAAAAGACTTGAATACAACTATCTCATAGATCCAATAGAAGTTTTTTTAACCAGAAATGTGCAAATAAATAACTTATTTCACAGTCTCAGATCCACACCATCAATACCAATATATATAATGGTTCATATACAACTAGGGCTATGCAATGCATTGAATTTAATTTGGATAAAAATGTTTCAGAACTTACAGGTATGCAAATATAGCCCCTGTCTCACAGAAAAAGACACGACTGGGTTGAAGACTTGTAGATAGGAGCTGCATTTGTATCCCTGTGAACTCTGAAGCACTTTTTTGGAATTGAATGAGAAATGCTGCACATCCCTGCTCTGCAGGCTTCACTTGCTGCCAGTTAGCTTGCAGGTGCAATTCAAGATGCTGGTCACCATCAATGGCTATTCAAGGGGTGACCCATCTTCAATATTTCAAGGTCAGAGTCACCTTGAACTATGAGATGGGTGGTAGGTAGGTAGGTAGGTAGGTAGGTAGGTAGATTGATAGATAGATAGATAGATAGATAGATAGATAGATAGATGATAGATAGATGATAGATAGATAGATAGATAGATGATAGATAGATAGATAGATAGATAGATAGATAGATAGATGATAGATAGATAGATAGATAGATAGATAGATAGATAGATGATAGATAGATAGATAGATAGATAGATAGATAGATAGATAGATAGATAGATAGATAGACAGACAGACAGACAGACAGACAGACAGACAGATATGGATGGATGGATGGATGGATGGATGGATGGATGGATGGATGGATGGATGGATGGATGGATGGATGAACGGACAGATAGACAACATAATGAAACAAAATGTGTATAGTCCAGTTCCTATTAAATTACATCCCCTGATGGGATTCAGGAAGCAGGGTTTTTTTTGTTGCACATCTGTGACCTAGAAAACCATTTCCTCCCCCACCCCCAGAGCCATATGGCCCAACCTATTTTTATTTATTATTTATTTTATTAATCAAATAAAAGTTACTTGCCCATCTTGCAACTATTCTGGGAGGCATATGATGTGCCATAAAATTTGAGTACATCTATCAATGGGTAGCAAACTTTTTTTTTTCCTCAAAAAAAAGTGCTGAGCGAACAGCTACCAATTAACTTCAAGGGCTCTTGGATGACATGGATTTCCTGTTTCCATTTTAATTTGGATTCAGGGCTGATTTTGCCACATGGGATTAGCAAGGAGTCGATACAGAGAATGCTTTGTTGGAAAGCAGGATTTCTTTGGAAGTCAGCCACATCTATGGCTTTTACTTCCACATGCCAAGCGGAAATGTAATAGCTGAAGCCTTTTAATGGAGAAAAACGGCTTGTCTCACAGTAACTGAATATATAGGAGGCCTTTTTCAGAACAGAAAAAAAATGGAGCAAGCGTACCTACTTAGAGGACCTCACAGGAAATGCAACTTTGGTGTATCGAGCAGACCTACCTGCAGTTTCACTTTTACATCATCCACGGTCACCACTTTATTCTGTAAGGAAAAAAAAATGCCCCACATTTATATAAAGAGCAAATTAACAAGAGGAACTCTATATTCAGCTTTACGGGGGGGGTGGGTGGGTTAGATCACCTGTGAGAAAACAAGCAGCTAAGGTCCTTTCTTATGATTTTCTATAACTCCCAGTTTAAAATTTCATGGGACAATCGCTAATAGTTATAAGGTAATAAGCTTCATGCATATTGCTGGCACAATTGGTGCACTGAAATTTTAGGCAAGACTGTAAGCAGCATATCTGCTTACAAAATATTGTATATCTAGTCATTCCTCTTTGCCTGCAATTTGGGGATCAGAGGTATGATATTTACTGGGATTGCATGCAAAGCAATCCTATCATCCAACACAATGCTTGTTAAGCTGGTTATCAGTAACTATTGGTACAATTAAAATACCTTAAATTTGTTCCGCATATATATTTTGTCAACTCTGGACTGAAGTAATGATGACTGCACTAATAGCAAATAATATTTTATAGATTATCAAGTGCTGGAGAGTTTCATTGTTAATTCTTTTTCATCATTCATCACACAAAGAAATTAGCACAACTTCTGATACTACATTTGTGGCAACTTAGATGTGCAAGTATTCACGGATCAGTGGAACGTGATGCGTAAATGCTTATACAATTACATTTTTTAAGGCTTTAAAGGGTCAAAAGTGGTTTTTGCTGTGTTAAACCAACATGGTCATCGTTCTAAAAACAAAGAAACAAAAGAGTCAGTTGGACAGAGTATGCAATAATGTCTTTTGCTACAAAATCCACAATCAAAATACTAAGCTATAACATAGTGACAAGGGAGATGCATCTTCCTTTGTAAGTTCTCATTACTATATTCAAGGGTTTGTGTTGTCCCAAACCATACTAATCAGATAATGATTATAATATAGAGGCCAAGACTCCACAAGTTATTTAGAATAACTGCAGCACACAGTAGATAACAAACGTGGTCCTGGAAGACCAGGAGAATTGTTCAATTATAGAACCCACTGAGGAATTTTGGACCATATCACTTTCTCTCAGCCTACTATAGCTCATAAGATTATCGTTTGGGAAATAAAATGAAGGGATATTCCCATATCATCTCTCTCGAGTTCCAAAAGGCCTGGGACACAAATGCTCATGATTGAAGGTGAATATAAGTGTCAAATGCTCATCATCACCATTAGGGGACTGGAGGCTAAAACATATGAGGAACGGTTGCTGGAATTGGGTATGTCTAGTTTAATGAAGAGAAGGACGAGGGGGGACATGATAGCAGTGTTCCAGTATCTCAGGGGCTGCCACAAAGAAGAGGGTGTCAAGCTATTTTCCAAGGTGCCTGAAGGCAGGACAAGAAGCAATGGTGGAAACTAAGCAAGGAGAGAAGCAACCTAGAACTAAGGAGAAACTTCCTGACAGTTAGAACAATTAACCAGTGGAACAACCTGCCTCCAGAAGTGGTGAATGCTCCAACACTGGAGATTTTTAAGAAGAGACTGGACAGCCATTTGTCCGAAATGGTATAGGGTTTCCTGCCTGAGCAGGGGGTTGGACTAGATGACCTCCAAGGTCCCTTCCTACTTTACTACTACTACTACTACTACTACTACTACTACTACTACTATTATTATTATTATTATTATTATCATCATCATCATTATCATCATCATCATCATCATCTTCATTATTCATCCACTATTATTTCCTCTTCTTTAACTGTTTTAACCTATGAGCTTTGCAAAGTTTTCAGAGCAGTTGAAGCAGATCCATTGTCTGCATGTGGCTGCTTCAAAAACGTCTCCCAGGTGTCTCCACATGAGCGTGGAGCCACTTTGCTTTAGCACAATTCAAGGAGAAGTGTTTCGGAATTCCTAGGAACACAAAAGGTTCTATGTATCACATCCTTTATATTCTGGAGCAACTATGGTGAAAAAAATGGAACAGGGTATTCAAAAAAAAAAAAAGGCAGGAAATACAGTAAGCCTCCATCTTTCACCCATCAATTCTCCCTACATTGCCTTCCTCTTCTGGCATTTAGGATTACAAGGCAAGCATGGAGCAAGCACCTTTATCCTTAAATAGACAAGACACGGTGATGCTAGTATACTGTTGCATATATTTCTTTTGTGAGAATGGCAGACAACTGCAATATGTTGATGAGTTAGGGGGAATCCTAACATCATAGACACCAGCAGGATAGCAGTACCAGTCATGGCTGATCTCGAGAAGCTAAGCCAAGCCAAGTCAAGGATAACCATTAGGAAGACTCTATAGGCTACACTGTGAAGTGGGAAAAATACAGGAAGAAGGCAGTGGAAAAACACTTCTGTACTGTTGCTAAGAAAATTAGATGAATGCAGCCATGGAGTCCAGCTCAACTTGAGGGAGGCTTTAGTTTTTTAGCATGAAGATATGGGGACACTGTATTGCATATGTGCTTGGGAAACAGGAGGAAGAGCCACAGCTTAGACAATAGTCATGCCCTCAAAAGGAAAAGGGGGCGTGGGAACTATATCAGAAGGGGCCATCCCTAGTTTTGGGGAAAATAAAATTAAAGAAGGGCAGAAATGCTTTCAAACTTGCAAGATTCTGTTTCTATAACCCTACAATAAAGTTAGTGTTGCTACTCATGGTTTGTGCTTCTGTCTGGACAAACTCGGAGGCTGTCACACATCTCACTATAATGCACATAGAATATAGCTACCTAATATAATTTCGGGAGGAAAGGAAAATAATGTGCTGTACGTGAATTTGACATGATATGGAAAAGTTTGATTTGGTTCAGCACAGCCAGAACCAAAACATTGTTTTGGAGTGCAAAGAAGGATAGCTTAGAGCAGGAGTCCTCAACCTTGGCAACTTTAAGACCTGTGGACTTCAACTCCCAGAATTCCTCAGCCAACAGAGCTGGCAGTTGAAGTCCACAAGTCTTAAAGTTGCCAAGGTTGAGAACCCCTGGCTTAGAAGCATCTCCTCAAATTATTTATTGCTTTGCTTTAAAATGCCCAGGGCCTAATATTACAAATTATTACAATATTCTTCTTAAACTATTATTAACAGTCTCCTAGGACCAGTTACTCTTTCCCAATAGTCTTCTCCAGATGAATTGGAGCTATCATTGGCCATATAAACTGGGAATTCCAGAATTTACCCATTTGGAGGAAGTCAGCTGAACCTAGATTGTCCACATAGTTAATATCATGACTGAATAGGTTGTTTTAATTAGTCTCAGAAAACTAAGCATGAGAAAGACAGTACGTACCACATTACCTAGTTGTAACATATAACTCAGTACCCACATTTTTTCCTCTTTAATTCATCAAACAAAAATTTTACCTATCTAGTACGTACATATCTGACATTCCATTGTGAGCTTATCATGTTTCCTACAAATTGAGATAATTTTAATTGACCGTATTTATCACACATAACAAAGAAATGCATACTAATCTTTGGAAAAAGATACCCAAGTTATGCATAGAGTATATTTTAGAGATCTTTTAAAGCACAACAATTAACCTGACTGTTACCATTCTTTTACCATTCTGTCTGTTACCGTTAGGAACCAAGAGCTTGACCAAAAAATTCCAGTATTGAGCTATCTTTGGTTTAGCTGCCAAGAGGAAGAAGGGAATGAATGCTTGCTTCATATTATTATTTTTTAATTCTAACCATCAAAAATATGTAACAAGTTGCATTTAAAGTGTTTTCAATCCTATTTCTTTTTTAAGTTCTAAAGTTTATTTAATCGAAAGCATTCTTCCAGAGTTTAAAAGCTTCACCATACAGTTACTAGAGATGAAGACAGGATCCAATCTGGGTCGGTCACCGGGACCAGAGATTTAGTCATCTGAACTTTCGGGCTTGTGCTGGAGCTCATCCTCAGGAAACTTCTCTCTAACACTTTACAACAGGGGTAGTCAACCTTGGCTCTTTTATGACTCGTGGACTTCAATTCCCAGAATTCCTGAGCCAGCTTAGCTTAGCTGGCTCAGGAATTCTGGGAGTTGAAGCCCACGAGTCATAAAAGAGCCAAGGTTGACTACCCCTGCTTTACAAGATTAGCCTGCTGGAAATGCTGACCTTAAACCAAAAGGAATTTTCTGGAGGATCCTTACATTGTATATCAGGGCTTGTTAATCGATCCTATTCAATTATACAAGTTTTTAAAAGGTCTGGAAACAAAGAGTTCTTCCGAAGATTTGAACAGCTGAGCTGAGACAGTACAGGAACAATTTTAAATAAAAGCTTTACATATGAATGGATTCTCAAAAATGAGGGCATGCTGGTGTAAGAAGGCATGAAAAGAACACAATTTCGGATTTTTTAAAAAACCCAACTAAGAACAATTGGCTAGAACTATCCTGCAACAGATGTGCTCCATTAATTAACTCAATAATGGGAGGAGCATCTGAAAAATAGCTTACATGCTCGTAAGTTGAAGTTAATAACAGTGTAGCAGCATAAAAAAAAACAGTGAATGCAATTTTTATTAGTCCTCCATACTTTTATTGGCTATGGAGCTGAATAAAGATATTGAAAAAGCTACTTAAAATCCTATAGCGCTGACTTCCATCCAATAGTGCCAATAAAATGTCATTTTCCATTTACAATTTACAGTTCTAAATGAAATAACATCTCTTGAGCTCTGGAGTAAGGCACACAATGTCTGACACATCTTATACTGTATAAATCGTATTATTTATGTGATGATGTGACATCATTGTTTTTCCTTTTCTCTCCCTTGGGCACAACAACACAGGGATTAATTTTCAGTGGAAACAGAAACCAACCTGATTCCTTGCATGAGTCGTGTCCCCTTGCTGTCCCTTGTTCCTGATCACACATGCCTCCAGTCACAAACTCCGACAGCCACATGTCACAGTGTGTTAAATGTCTACAAGCAACTCACATGCCTGATTTCTGACCTGTATAGTGCAGATTGGGACTGCAGTTTGTGGGAGGGAGGCTTTCAGTGCTTTTCCCAAACTGTCATCCAAGGGAAAAATCGTTCCATCTCAAAACTACAGAAGTTCTACGAGAGAAGATGATAGAAACTTTCCCTCTAGGACAGGGGTAGGCAACCTTGGCTCTTTTATGACTCGTGGCCTTCAACTCCCAGAAATCCTGAGCCAGCCATGCTGAGGGGAAAGGGAGAGGTTTCCAAGCTGAGCCATGCTGGCTCAGGAATTCTGGGAATTGAAGTCCACGAGTCATAAAAGAGTCAAGGTTGCCTACCCCTGCTCTAGGACTACCAGCAGCTCTGAAAATGTGTATGTGTGTGTAAATGAAGGGGGAAGAGAGGATAGAATAATGGACTCACAGGGCAGGACAAGACCATGGCGGTGTTCTATTCCAACCGCTGCCCAAGGCAGGAGCCCTTATACCAGTGGTCCCCAACCTTTCCAGCTTTGCGAACCGGCAGGGGTGGGAGGGGTAAGGGAATTTTTCATGTGAGCGGCAGGCGAGCGTGTGCACGCAGCTCCATTTGCACAAGTGGCCTGCCACTCGCACAAATGGAGCTTCATACAGGTACTCACTCGCTTGCTGCTCGCGCAAGTGGGACCGCGCGTGTATGCACACGCTCGCACACCACTTCCACAGCCTGGTTCCAAATGGCCCAGGGTTTGGGGACCCCTGCCTTACAGACAACCAGACAAATGGTTGTCCCATCGTTTCCTGAAACCTCCAGCGATGGAACGCCCACAACTCTGAGAGGCAGAGTTCCATTGATAGATTGCACGAAAGACCATTTGGGATTGAGTTTGGGTTGTTGTTTTTTACTACAACCACAGCAGAGAGGAATAGGATGAGGCTCCTGGGTCTACATGTGCTGGACTCCTGATCCAGCTACTGAAAGACCAAAACCAGGCAAGACAAATGTTTGCATCCATGTAATGTTCTTCCACCTGCGTTGTGCTTAGCTCAAAGGTCTACTGCAGGATGCCCAACACACTTCTCTGCTGTGGCAAACTATCTCCAGAATTAATAGTGGCCTCACCCGGAAGTCTATCCCGACAGTAGCTATGAAGGTCCCAGAGAGGAAGGCTCCATCTTTGAACTGGATGAGGAAGCAGGTCTTCCCCACACCTGAATCTCCAAGCAGCATCACCTACAAGATGAGGTGCAAAAGCCCATTAATATGGCTGACATTCATGTTTTCCCCCCCTCATGCTTCCTTATTAAAGAAGAGTCTCTCTCTCTCTCTCTCTCTCTCTCTCTCTCTCTCTCTCTCTCTCTCTCTCTCTCTCTCTCTCTCTCCTGTCAACAGTAATCTAATTTAGCAAGCAGAACTAGCAGCCAACAAAGAGAAGAACAAATAAATGGCAATATCTAATCTTCATCTTACTTTAGCCATTGTGACTGGGAGTCATTCATTGTCTGCTCTACTAAAACAGTCTTATTCCATCAATACTGGCCATAACTCAATGTGGAGAACTTAGCAGAAAATCAGGAATCTGGTAGCGCCTTTTCCGATTAATAAATATTATTAAAAACGTTTTTACAAAACTTCCTGATTTTTTTTTGATTTTTTTTTTGCCACTGTAGAACAGTGTTTCTCAACAGTGACAAATTTAAGATGTGTAGACTTCTAACACTGGCTGGGAAATCTGGGAATTGAAGTCCCCAAGTTGCCACAGTTGAGAAATACTGCCACAGACTTAACAAGGCTTATAACAGATAATTTAAAAACAACAACAACAACGCTTTAGATCAGAGGTCTTCAAACTTGGCCCTTTTATGACTTGTGGACTTCAACTCCCAGAATTCCTCAGCCAGGCACGCTGGCTGAGGAATTCTGGGAGTTGAAGTCCACAAGTCATAAAAGGGCCAAGTTTGAAGACCCCTGCTTTAGATCTCCTATAAGCACAGCTCCTCTCCGGTACTAATCAAAGTGCCCCAACTTTTGTCAGGATTCCGTGTGAGCCTGAAAGAAAAGATGTCACATCTTTAAGAAGCCAATTTTCTAATGTAATTCATTGCATTAAAGTTGTTTCGTTCAGGTTTGCAGAAGAGTGAAAAAGTTGGACTGCTGTGATCAATAGCAGGATAGTCTTGTGCTTGCCTGAAGTTCAAGGCAAGTACTTGGGAAATCTTTAAAGCGTGCACCCCTTTCTGCTTATCTCCCCCTTTAGTGTTATAGCAAGCTTACAAGGATGGTGTAGGACAAACTTCTCCATCTCGTGCTCTCCAGGTTTGCCAAAGGCACCACCTGGTTGGGAATTGTGGTAATTTAAATTGAACAAATCTGGACCAAGTTGAAAAAGGATGTTTTAAAATGGTTCCAAATAGAGGATACTTTGCTAAATCTTTTAGGAAGGTTTAGCTCAAGGAAAACCATCCATGATCTCCCTTTCTCGTCCCAGGTCTTTCCAATGAAAGCGGTGGGATCCCTCTGTGGCCCTGGCAAAATAAATTCCTATATTTTCATATTTTTCCTCTAGTCCTTGCATAACTAGCAATGGTGGAAACTGAACTCCAGAAATAGAGTTGTTGGCTTGATGGGGCATGTTTGGCAAGTCTTCCTTCCTATTGTGCTCCCTCAAGAGAAGATCTCCCGTGCAGGTGAACTTTTTTGAGGGATATCTTTCCCACCGTCCTGCTTCTCTGAGAGACTTTGGAGTTCGTTTGTGAGCTGGCCCCACACATCTTTCTCTGGGGCGATGAAAGGTTATAAACTCTGCTTAACTTCTTGTCCTTATTTTCATCATTACTAAAAGCACCTCTTCCTTGTCAGTGTTGCCTCTCTTCTGCACAAAAGATAAGGAGATCAGCTTGTAGCTACTCTAAGAACCAGCTGCTGTTTTCAATGGAAACAAACAACCCATTTATGTTTACACTTCACGCCATATGGTCCGGCTTGTGCTTTTGCTTAGCCTTCTAGCTAGGCTTCTAGCTGGACAAATTACATCTCTGGAAGTACAGGAGCCCTATGCCTTGTTCAAGGACTTCAGCATCTTCCTGAAGTGTCAGGGCAGCTGACTCTAGGAGGTAGTGAAGTACAGTGTTTCTCAACCTTGGCAACTTTAAGACGTGCAAATGTCAACTCCCAGAATTCCCCAGCCAGCTGAGAAGCACTGAGCTAGTATGACAGGGCCTAAATCTCCTAACTGCTTCTGAGTTACTGCTCCTCAGCTTAAGAATTATAATAATTACAGTTCCTTATTTAGGATTATTAATTCCAATTTAAGGGAACTTCTGTAGAGCCTACAATAGTTTCTTGGCTCCATTTATGGGAGTCCTGCCTTCTGCTGCCTCGGACCCTCTTCAGTGGTCACTGTCAGCATGGCTGTGTTCCCTCAAGTCAGAATATTATCCTATCTGTGCTCTTATCTGGGAATGAACGTCTTCACTGAGACTACTTGCACAGGATCAGTAGTTATGCACTGAAACGTGTTGGATGGAGAGGTCACCCAATGGTCTGGGAAGCCCTGGTGAGATGTCAGAAACCCCAGCTCAGAGGGAGCTGCACTTCTCACCTTTGCCCTATGCAAGGGAATAGTCCATTAGCTAATGTTACCTCTGCCTAATCCAAACATTTTACTAATCCTCCAAGTAATCCCCAAGGGCACAGTTCACACCCAGCCTCTTTCCTCCCTCCCTGGAATCAGATTCGTCATTGATCTACGATGTTATATAGACAAAGGGTGGAGAAAGAAGAAACTGTTTGTGGCTGATACACTAGATTAAATCTGATGTATATTTCTAACAACTAGTTCCTTCTTCCATGGGCTTTTGTCTATTTCCTCTGACGCCACTGTGACCCTACACAAAGAATCCATGGGTTAGATTAGGGGTGGGGAATCTTGGCCCTTTTATAACTCGTGGACTTCAACTCCCAGAATTCCCGAGACAGCCATGCTGGGAGTTGAAGTCCACAAGTCACAAAAGGGCCAAGGTTCCCCCACCCCTAGGTTAGATCAAAACCTGAGAGGTATCATTATAATCCATCAGGAGAAGATCCTTAAGCTCTGGGGCTCTCTTCCTTTCTTGCCCCTTTCCCACCTCTGTTGCAAGATAGCAGAGCAAACAGGCAAGCCAATATCCACTCCTTCTAAGCAAACAGACTTTCAGCGTAAAAACCCCAGCTTGGTTGGCATTTTTTGATTCCCTATTTACCCCAGGGAAGGAAAAACGATAACTGAGGCTATTCTGATTAGTTAGAAAGGACTTGCCATATGGCATCTTAAGGATTTATTGTGGTGTAAGATTTTGTGGGCGTTTTCATTTAAGGTGTTCTGGTCCACCAAAGGGAGAGCACATACTCTCTCACCTTTCTGGAATTTATCCCAGGGAGAAATGTGGGTTAGCCAGCATTTGTCCTCCTACAAAAAAAATCAGCCCACCCAGCTCAGAGATAACAACAATCATTAGGGCAGTGGTTCTCAACCTGTGGGTCAGGACCCCATTTGGGGTCGATCGACCATTTCACGGGGGTCGCCAAGCAAGGCTGTCCGCCATTTTTTTTGTCCGCCATTTTTTCCCCTTTTCCGGCGGGTGCCTTACCTCCCTTGGGCTGGGCCAGCTGGTGGTCGGCCTGCTCCGTCTCTGCCGCTTGCCAGCTATGCCTCGGCCGGCGCAGGGGGCGGAACCACGCATGTGCGGCGCTCCCAGGCAGGGAAAGTCCTCGACTTATGACCGGTTGGGTAGTCCTCAACTTACGACCGGTTTAGTCCTCAACTTACGACCGGTTTAGTCCTTGACTTACAACCGGTTGGGGTCGCGGCATTAAAAAGGTTGAGAACCACTGCATTAGGGGAAAATGCATCAACAGCCCTGGCGGAACAACAAACACTGGACTCCTAGTGGCCAGACTTGAAAAATAGGTCTTAAAAGGAAACAAACTAAGGAAAGAAAGCAAGTCTACGTGTCCCAGGACAATGTTGCAGGATCCAATCTGGGTCAGTTGCCACAACCAGAGGTTTAGTCTTCCGAGCTTTCAGACTAATACTGGAGCTCATCCTCAAGGAATTTCTCTCACAGACATTTGGTGAGAGAGAAGTTCCCTGACAATGGACTTTAGCACAAGTCTGAAACCTCAGAAGACTAAACCTGGTGGTCCCGGTGACCGACCCAAATTGGATCCTGAAACAAACTAAGCTTAGATTCAGAACTACTGAGAAAATGGGAAGCTGCAACACACCCTAACTAAAAAGAACCAAGTATGGGAAAACTGCTACAACTACTTTCACTTTAAGAAAGGGGAAGAGAAAATGTCATCTCTCTGCATTTTTATTATGGAGGGAGTGTTGGTTTAATAGATGGTAGCCAGTCCCAGAACCGGGACTCATGCAGGGAAGAACCATATAGATCAGTGATGGCGAACCTTTTAGAGACCGAGTGCCCAAACTGCAACCCAAAACCCACTTATTTATCGCCAGGTGCCAGGTAGGCGTGGCCCACTGGGTGGGCATGGCTGTGGTCATGGCAGACTGGGTGGGTGTGGCCAAGCTGGGCATGGTCACCTCGATGTTGCTTGTGGGAACATCTGTGGGGGCCGAGCAGGGTTGGGGGAGATCCAGGGGGTCTCTGGCAGGTGAGGCGGTGGTCAGGAGGCTCATCCTGCGGGGTGAGGCGAGGCAAGGCGAGGCAGGGCAGGGGTGTCATTGTCACAGGGCAAGGTGAGGAAGGGGCCGGGGCGGTTGCTGCCTGACACCATTGGCCCCCGCACACAGAGGCCAGTGAGCGCATGGGTGCTGGGATGCATCCAGCCATGTGGGACCTCGGCGAGTTAGTGGACGGCTGATTGAAGAGGGACGGTTGCCATCTCCGGGGCATGCCGAGCGTGCCCACAGAGAGGGCTCTGAGTGCCGCCTCTGGCACGCGTGCCATAGGTTCGCCACCACTGATATAGATTATCCTGCCTGAGGCCCTTGCGGGAAGGTTGGACAATGTATCTGAAGTTGTAATCCATGGGAGTTGGAGTCCACCTGACCCAGAAAGTGCCATGCGGGGGAAGGAAGATAGAATAGGCCAGGAATGATTGCTGTGAAGAAATGGCCCAGGACCCAGGGCCAATTTGCAAAGCTTCTTTGATTGTTGTTGTTGCTCCTTCTCAGTGTCGCTCTTTTTTTGCGTCCTGCCTTTCTTGGGTGTCAGGAAGAGGGGGAAGCAGCAGCAGTTCCAGGCCCCAGTTGACTGGAGAACAAAAAGAGCACCACTAACAACTGGCAGCTACATTAGAGTAATTGGGAGAGAGTGGGGATCTCTGGTGGAGGCCGGGCTATGATCCTTTTGAAGGATCCCCTGCCAGAAGGAATCTGGAAGCGGAGTGACTGAGTAAGCAGCATCAAACAGGGTGTTTTGGATTTAAGGTTGCAAAAGACCTGGTAGCCAAAATGTTTTCTTCTGCTTCCAGGCCCAGCAGCCTGATTCCTATCAGTGAAAATATAGGGCCAATCCATAACCTGGCCTTAGTATATGTGGTCCTCAACTTACAATCATTCATTCAGTGACCATTCAAAGTTACAACACCACTTAAAGAAGTGACTTATGACATAAGTTTTTTCACACTTACGACCACTAAAGCATCTCCATGGTCCATTGAAGTATCTCCATGGTCACGTGATCAAAATTTGGATGCTTGGTAAATGGCATGTATTGTGACTGTTGCCGTATCCCAGAGTCATGTGATCATTTTTTGCAACTTTCTGACAAGCAAGGTCAATGGGGAAGCCAGATTCACTTCACCACCATGTTATTAACTTAAGAACTGCAGTGGTTCACTTAACAACTGTGGCAAGAAAAGTTGTAAAATGGGGCAAAACTCACTTAATAATTGTCTTGCTTAGCAACAGATATTTTGGGCTCAATTGTGGTTGTAAGTCGAGGATTACTATATGTAATATGAACTCATCTTTCCTATACGTTGTAAAATAGCTATAGCTTAGCTTGTAATATATCTCCAGCCAATTGTGGCTCATACACTAATCTATTATTAAATAAACCATTAGGGTATGTGAGAGCCCAGTCATTATCCGAGGCAGGAGGTGAGTTCTGTCTTCCCTGCAATTAAATATCCTTCATGCCCTCAAGACATTACTTTCACTAGGAAGTGGGAGGCAATGGAGTCACTCCTTTGCTTCCCCAAAGCATAAAATATATGCTTAGCCAGGCATTATTATTTTTTTGTCCAAATGAAGTCTAGCACAGGACCTTCGTTCTATGGGGAACAAAATCAGTAATGGTAAGGAAAGATTGTTGTTGTTGTTAGTTGCAAAGTTGTGTCCGACCCATCGCGACCCCATGGACAACGTTCCTCCAGGTCTTCCTGTCCTCTACCATCTTCTGGAGTCCATTTAAACTCACGCCTACTGCTTCGGTGACTCCATCCAGCCACCTCATTCTCTGTCGTCCCCTTCTTCTATTTCCCTCAATCTTTCCCAGCATTAGGCTCTTCTCCAGTGAGTCCTTCCTTCTCATTAGGTGGCCAAAGTACTTGAGTTTCAACTTCAGGATCTGGCCTTCTAAAGAGCAGTCAGGATTGATCTCTTCTAGGACTGACCGGTTTGATCGCCTTGCAGTCCAGGGGACTCGCAGGAATCTTCTCCAGCACCATAGTTCAAAGGTCTCAATTCTTTGGCGCTCAGCCTTTCTTATGGTCCAACTTTCACATCCATACATTGCAACTGGGAAAACCATGGCCTTGACTATACGCACTTTTGTTGGCAGGGCCAGGTCTCTGCTTTTTAGTATGCTGTCTAGATTTGCCATAGCTTTCCTCCCCAGGAAAGATACTACAGTTATTGTGTGCAGATAATTTGAGTTGTTATTGAGCATGTCCCCTGTGCCATTTTGGGCAGTGGTTTTTTTGTCATTAGACAGCCAACAATGTTTTAAATTTCCAACATGATTATGCAGCAGTCCTTCCTTCACAGAGAAAAGTGCATCACTTCACTTGATTTCTGTTGTACTCTCATACATACTTCTGTTTATTAGAATACTGATCTACTGTCCAACTCTGATGGAAGCACGGATATTAGCACTGGAAACTGATGCTAATACAATTCCTTGCATAAGGGAAAGCAATAGATACTTAGCTATATTCACAGAATCGCTTTGCTAGCTATAGCGACACTTCTTTCAGCTGCCTTCTTGGGACAAGCTGGTTCTTCACCACAAAGCAGGCAATTTTGCAGGACCATCATTGAGGATGCTTACGATGGCACAAAGAAACACCAGGATATAAATGAAATAAATAACTTGCAACATAAATAGAATTGCAGTATTTGCCAGTACCCAATAAACAGCGACCGTGCAGCACAATTGCTGGGGTTCGTATCTCAGCTGAGGAGATCTGTGCAAGCTCTGAATGTGAGGAAGTGCACTTCGCTGCCTTGCCAAACCCTTCCCCCATCTTTGCTTCTTTCTCAGATGCGTCTCCTGATTAGCTTCCCACTTTAGCTGCTTCCTCCCAATGTGGTTTGAATAGCAACAGCTACAGCTGCTGTTGCTGCTGCAAAGGAGAACAGTGCAACCCTGTTTATTGAGCATCGATTTAAACAAGCGGTCTTGCTAAAGAGGAACCAAGCTGTGTGATCATCCTGCTCCAGCCCTTAATGATCCACTTTACAGATAGTCCTTGACTTACAACAGTTCATTTAGCAACCATTCTAAGTTACAACGGCCCTGAAAAAAGTGACTTATGTCCGTTTTTCACACTTACGACCCCTTGCAGCAACCTCGCAATCAAAATTCAGATGCTTGGCAACCGACTCATATTTATGACGGTTGCTGTTTCCTGCAATCCTGTGATCCACCTTTTGCGACCTTCTGACAAGCAAAGTCAATGGGGAAGCCAGATTCATGTAACAGCCATGTTACTAACTTTAACGACCGCAGTGTGCCCCTTAACAACTGTGGCAGGAAAGTTCGTAAAATGGGGCAAAACTCACTTAACGGCTGTCTCACTTAGCAAAAGAATGTTTGGGCTCCATTGTGGTTGTAAGCCGAGGACTAGCTGTATCGTCTATGGAGGCAGAGCTCGGCCTGAACATGAGCCTAGTACAGTTGTAACCAAGAATTCATCAGGACTTAGGAAAGAGCCCATTTTCAAAGCCAGAGGGACTTCTGCACTTTGAGGGGCAGATTTATAAGCCCGTGAATGCAGGAAAAATATTCAGCAGCCTTATTGTCCCTACCAGTGCTCTTCCCCATCTAAAGAAACGACCTGTTGAATTTCTGTTAACTACCGGTAGGCATCTGTTAAAGATGCAGGAGCACAGTTGAGCGTTGGTAGGAACGGCAATCCTAAAATCATAATTCAGTCGTCAAACACGAAGAAAAACGCCCTTGGTCTTTTTTTTCCTCACAAATAGCCATCTGGATTACAAATAACCATCTGAAAGAGACTCTCTAAGCCAGGGTTTCTCAACCTTGACAACTTTTAAGATGTGTGGACTTCAATTCCCAGAATTCCCCAGCCAGCCATGCTGGCTGGGGAATTCTGGGAATTGAAGTCCACACATCTTAAAGTTGTCAAGGTTGAGAAACCCTGCTCTAAGCAGACCTGCGCCCCACCACCGTTTTTCCAAATTAGGCTGGGTGCTGAGACTCGCCCCTTTATCCTGTCTCAGCCAAGTTCATGGGCGAAGTTGAACCCTTCCGAGGCGTTGGGTGGGGGAAGCTAGCGGGGAGAGCGTGAAGCGGGGGCGGCTATTAAGCTTCCCCCCCCCCGCTTCTTCTCCAAGACAATTTGGGGAGGGGGAGCGTGTTTACTAGGATGCCTCTCGGCCTTTGGTCGTCTTGCCTTGCCTGGGATGACAGCCGCCAAGATCCTCCCTCCCCCCCCCCCGCCCGCACGCTCCCTGCCCTCTCTTGTGCCCCCTGGTGCCCATTCGGGGCAGGCTCACACCTTGCCGGAGAGGTCGTAACTCTTGCCGAGCGACAAAGGCTTCACTGCGGGCGGAAGTGCGGCGGGGGGCCCGTTGCGCGCCGGAGGGGTGTCCCCGCTGCCTGCTCCGTTGCTGGTCATGGTGGCTCCCGCGCAGGGAGCAGGAACTGCCGGGGGAGCTTCGAGAGCTCCGGCCACGCTGCCGCTGCCCCTCCTCTCCTGCCCACGCGCGGAACCGCCCCTTTCTTGCGCTCGGGAAGGGAGAGCGCCCGAGCCAGCCGCCGGCGCTGGACCGAAGAGGGGACCCGAAGCTTTGCGAGCGCTTTCGCCTGCCTGGGGCGCTGGTGGCCTCGGACTTGTCTTCTCACATCAGCGCTTGTTGTTGTTGTTTCTTTACGGTCATGTATTTTGCTGAACACCAATGAAGCGGTTCGGGTGTGTAATTGTAGAAGATGAATGATAGCCGTGCAGTTGGTTTGCCAATCAGGCCGCGGCTGAGAAGGGATTTTTTTTTCTTCTCGTTTTGATGAGGATGTAGCTGCAGGACAGCCTGCCTTGTGCTTGCAACGTGCCTTGCCCTGCTTCCGTGTAACTCAGCCCTACTTTTCTGCCACGCATTCAGGGACGTGGTTTTTTTTTTCTTCTCTGCTCTGGTCCCCCTGGACACAGTTCTCCGGAGCCATTCTTAATAGGGCAGCAGGAGAAACTGGTTCTTTCCAAGTGGGCTCTACCTTGATATGCACCAGATCCCCAAAAGAGAGTCAGTGTTAATAATAATAATAATGATGATAAAGTTGGAAGGGACCTTGGAGGTCATCTAGTCCAACCCCCTGCTCAGGCAGGAAACCCTATACCATTTCGGACAAATGGCTGTCCAGTCTCTTCTTAAAAACTTCCAGTGTTGGCGCATTCACCACTTCTGGAGGCAGGTTGTTCCACTGATTAATTGTTCTGTCAGGAAGTTTCTCCTTAGTTCTAGATTGCTTCTCTCCTTGATTAGTTTCCACCCATTGCTTCTTGTCCTGCCTTCAGGTGCTTTGGAGAATAGCTTGACTTCCTCTTCTTTGTGGCAGCCCCTGAGATATTGGAACACTGCTATCATGTCCCCCCTCGTCCTTCTCTTCATTAAACTAGACATACCCAATTCCAGCAACCGTTCCTTATATGTTTTAGCCTCCAGTCCCCTAATCATCTTTGTTGCTCTCCTCTGTACTCTTTCTAGAGTCTCAACATCTTCTTACTTTGGAAGAGGGATCAGTTTGAGAGCGGGATCAGTTGAACAGAGAAGGTGACATGGAGGGGCTGCATGATCCAGTGGCAGAGACCCCTATTCAACCATCTATTTCTGAAATGGGTTTAACGCTCTTCTGGATTACAGACTTGTTTATTTCACTTTACGGCTGGATGGCTTTCATCGTGGGAGCAGGGCTTCCAGTTGGTTTGGATAAATATCTTTGGTTTGATATCGATAGAAAAATTATAATTATATTCCAACGTGGAATAAATTAATCAGGGAAACGGAAAAACTGGGCTTTAAAACATCAACATTTTGGGGCAAATTGCAGTGGTGAAAATAGAAATCCTTGCAAGGCTCAGTTTTCTACATCAACGTTTCCCAATCGTGGCGAGCAGAAATACAGAAAAGTTCCCATTTTATTTTAGCAGAAGTGAAACAAGCGAGCACGAGTGATAAGTAAATGAGGAAGGTGCCTCTGGTACTTTCTGCCACTAAGCCAAGTAGCTGTACCATCCAGGAGCAAAATGGGAATGGAAGCCAGTCTGGTATAGTGGTTAAAGTCCTGGCCTAGGAACTAAGAGAGTGTGACCTATTATATGTTTGTTGCCTTGAATTACTTACGAAGTAATAAAGATGAGATAAAAATCTAATAAATAACTAAATGGGACCATATAGCAACTTGGAATAATTCCCTTTTTAAAGAATCTCACATTCTTTTTGGAGAACTCAAAGCTCACATTTTCAGCAGTGGAATTCACACACAAACACACACTCACAATAACGTAGTCCTTTGTATTACATCCCACACTCAGCAAAGTTACGAAATTTCTAGGAATTTCCCAAATCATAAATCTCCTGAGATGCAATGTGTTGAATAATTTCCACACCAGATGAACTTATATTTGTGAAACTAGCCAGCACTTAAAGTACAAGTCTTCTTTCCTAAACAAAAAAAGGTGTGGGTTTTTTCTATAGTTTTGACCTCTGGCCTCTATAGATAAATGAATTCTTTAATTACATATGTTTTGGAAATAAAGCAATATCTTGAGAAAGACTAGATCAGATGCCACCAATATTCTCAGATTTCACTGAATCTCCCCTAATCTGAGAAAATCCAGTGATTAAATACAATGAAAGGAACAAAAAAGTTTGTGTTTATTTTGGAACTGCCAGGAATTCTTTCATTTGTTCAATGGTAAAAGATTATCTTATTTCAATAATCTCATTATCTAACCTATTATAAATGAGGTTCTTTGCCTTGCTATAATCTTGCTCATGTGACTTATAAAATATAACTTCCCTGGGTCCTGTTAATTTCCCCCCCCCTTTAGGTACTGAAAGAGCCCCCAAAGCTTAGTCACTGAACTCAACTGTTGGTCTATGAACAGAATCAGATCTTTCTCATATGATAAACCAAGTAGGTATTTGTTGACTGGAGGACACACTTAATATTGAGAGGAAAACTGAAAGTCACAAGATTTTTAAGGGGTTTCCTGGTTTTGGAAAGAGCTTTTAAACAGGAGCTTTGTTTTTTAAGCTCCAGTGAGACTACTTTAATATGAGATTTGCATTTTCCAAATGACAAGGAAACATACCACTGTTCTGATCCAAGGAAACGTTGGATGTTGCATAAAAAAAACAATTCAGGTTCCCAATGGCATATGTGGAAATTGTTCTGTAGAATAAAGATCGAATAGAGACAATTTAAACTGGATTGTGACCCTCAAACAGAGCTGCAGCAGTGGAATTCTTGCTTGAATCAGCTAGCCATTTTGCCTTTCCATGAAAAAAGAAAAAAAATGGAATAAGTAGTAATTTTATTATTGGTTAATATAAGAATAGGGGCAGACGTTCAAGAAATGTGTCTATTTTGCACTAGTTTATTATCTTTGGGTTAGGTTTAGGGCAGGGGTAGGCAACCTTGGCTCTTTTATGACTGGTGGACTTCAACTCCCAGAATTCCTGAGCCAGCCATGCTGAGGGGAAAGGGAGAGGTTTCCAAGCAGAGCCATGCTGGCTCAGGAATTCTGGGAGTTGAAGTCCACGAGTCATAAAAGCGCTAAGGTTGCCTACCCCTGGTTTAGGGTTTAGTATTTTACCATCTCTTAAACAAGTCCCCAAATAATAAAGACATTTCCTGTTCTTTGGAAGTAGTCATGTCCCACAGCACACTTAGTCTGTTCAAATTAAATGAATCTGAACTCAAACTGTTTCCTTAATAGTGCTCTGGCAGCACACAATCACACTAACAGGGACAATAATCACAATTGGGGGGGGGTACAGAATCTCTGCCTACTTTCTCCATGATGTGTCTAACCTCATGTGAGATTGTGCACTAGGAGAAGACTAACAAAGATTACCTATCTCTGTAGCCTCTTCCCCTTAAGTCAGGAAAGCAACCTTATGTATGTCATATCCATTACAGCCAATTTGTGTTGGTAGACCCTGAAGTGACTTCTCTAAGGGAGAGACTCCTTTTTAAGATAATCTATCTCTCCAACTCTTTTTCCTGAAGAATTAAGTAGGAAAAATAAGGCAATTAACAGGGTTTACTGTTCCCAGAGTTCAGTTGATTAAATGAAGTTTGATTAATGTTATTCACAACTGGATTTATTTGGAAACAATTTTAACTATCTAGAAGTGGTTGATTGGATTAATTTACTCCATTTTGGCATTCCCACAGCTTGATATCTTCTAACATTGGCGTGTGCTATGGGAATAGAAACTATGACTTAGTAAGAACAATTTTTAAACAAAGAAGTCAGGTTCACTAGAGCAGATTAGTGCAAGGGTATTAACTCTTTATTTGCCAAGGTCTCTATTAAAATGTTATACAAAGCGGTATTGCCTAACCATGGAGTCTTAATTTCATACCTTGGAAACTCACATACTTTGATATGTGGTGCTAGTGAATATTGTTCTAAAAACAATTGTGCTTGGAACAATGGGAGAAATAGAAGAAACGATAGCAGATCAAATGAATGGACAGGTTCTATTCCAGATAACTGGAATATCTTTGGAAGAGCCATGCCACGAGTTAATACTTACAGTAAAGCAAGATAAGTTAGACCTGACCTGAGACCACAGAATTAAACCTCCACCTTCCACCCATACATCACAGATGCCCTAATCCATCTTCTGAACTTTGCCTGGATCGGAGTGATTGCTTCCTTCCCATCTCCCTTTCCATTGTATTAGTGGGAGTGGGATCTTAAGAAGGGAGGCAGTGGCTGTATAGTCTTTTCAGTTAGACTACAATTAGAATATTATGTTCTGACTATGAATATAATATTATCTTCTAACACAGACCATGGCCAAAATGCTCACATCTTCCAAAATTCACATTGTTTCTGGGTCTAATCCCCCCCCTTTCAGTTAGTTTACCTTAAAAGCCAGTGCACAGCTGTAAAAAAGATAAAAGTTCAATGTCTTGTGACTTCACACGTCCCTGTAGTTTCTAAGTGCAAGCATACACAATAGACTAGATTTCCTTTTCCAAAAACACTGTATGCATACAACTTTATTTTACTAGCTTATTTACTGTATTAGCTTATTAACTTAATGTACTTCCAATGTGTGATATTCCTTTGATTGTTAAATCCATGGTGGAGATTGGCAGTTAAGAGGTTTGATAAATGGATAATAAATAAATAAATAAATAAATAAATAAATAAATAAATAAATAAAGTATGCATGTATGTATGAGAAATGCTTTTGGAGTAACATTAGAAATGTATTGTCTGAAGATTTATTCCATCACTATACATCTGGATTTTATATGTAAAATTGCCTATGAAAACAATTCAGAAGCTACAACT